ATCGAAGCGAGACGACAGTTGAGCGTACAATGATAGAAACCTTCTTTCACCTATAGACAATTATTCACAGGTATCTATCATTGCACGCTCAACGGTCGTCTCGCTTTGATGTAAAGGCACGGCTACATTTCAAGATGGCGCAGGGAACCGTGGAGGAGACTAACCCTCCTCCTTTCGTTGACTTTCACACGCGCGAAAGAGACTTGCGTACTTTTCTTCTGTACTTATTTCACAATGGAATGAGCCTTATAAGTAGAACTGTGACATTAGGCATTATCAGGTATAAAAGACAAATAGAAGTGACACAATACCTTGGTCCTCCTGGAGCGTTTCTATGACTTTACGGACAGTCTTGCGGCTGTGCTCCGAGTCGCCAGGCACCATATCAGCGTTTTGCACGTGAGAGCTTTGGGCTGGAAGAATTGGTCTTTGATGTGTGATGCCTGCTTGTACGTTGGACGTCACGATAGGATTGGGTTTGCTTAGACTGAGAAAATACAGCTATTTCAAATTCAGGTGTCTCAAATACAGTTTTATGGACATTTATTGAACTACAAACATTGATATTATATTTTAAGGGATAACAATACTCCATTTTACGGTTCCAAGCGCCATCTTGAAAGGTAACCAAGCCTTTGTATCAAAGCGAGACAGGAGTTGAGCCTGCAGTGATAAATACCTTTTGTTCACTGACAAATAGGTCGTTTGCATTATGACGTAACTTTACAACTAACAGAGAGCTTTGCGCATTTTCAGTGTTATTCAGATTTTTTAATCCCCTTGGAGATTAATAAAACAATTAGCACTAATACTCCAATTTCGAGTTCTGGTATGCTCTGTGTTAGCCTCAAAACCAAGTAACATATTCTTTTGTTTTATTGATAGCACGAGAAAACGCATGAAATTCGAAAAGAAAGACAATAGAATGAAATTAAAATCTCACACTTTTATTCTCAAAATTAGGAATATTTTTTTTTTTGCGCACAAATGAGGCTAACACAGAGCATTGGAGAATTCGAAACTGGATTATTGCATTACAAAAGAAAGTTGGCAAAGCATTCTGGTAGTTGTAGTAAATGACGCCATAACGCATATCGCCTATTATTCACAAGTACATCTATCATTAGCTCAACTGCTGTTTCGCTTTTAAGCAAAGGCTTGTTTGCATCCCAGGATGGTTTCTGGAACTGTAAATTGAGTATCGACTTACTCTAYTTCGTTCACACATATTATAAACTCGAGATCTTTTGTCCATGGATTTCTGAAGTTAGTTGATTTAGATTTTAGCCAAATGTAATGACCTAAAAATATAAAAAAAATGGTAACTATGAAAAAACATCCTAAAAGACTTACTGGGAGTCTAGAGATTATAAGAAAAGCCAAAACAGAGTGGAGAGTTTGGTGGGCGAACTGTGAGCCGCCTGGGAACAATAGCAAGGATTAAGTAACACCAGCCATAGTTTACGGTATGTATGCATAGAAAAAAATATTGGCATGAAAGCACAAACAAACAAAAAGGCTTGACACACACCAGGCTCCATTGCTGACATCTTATGTAATGTCCTTAGTAATGTCTACAAATATCTAGTACAAATCTCTGCAATAGAAATCTAAAGGCCTACTTTGATCCAAAAACCATAGTTTCTGATCACTTGTTATATCTTGAAAAGTTTTATGCTGTTGAAAGTTTGATTGTTCCAAATCAAAGATGGCAATTTTTCATATATATAAGTAAGAAAATCGACAGGCGAAAGTTTTCAGATGAATGTTGGGCAGCTCGAGGCAAAGAAACTATGGTGAGGGCACAGGAAGCCCAAAGCAGAAACACCTCATGTGAAGTAAGCTATTCTCATACCTGGTTTGCACATGAATCTGTAAGCTACAGTATAGGAATCAGAGTTGGTGACAGTGTTTTTATGTGTCTGAGCAATTTTGTAGAGATCTTGAGGATGAAAATAGTCATAAGCTGAAGAACCAACCATCTCTTGAGGAAGATAACCACAGATTGGCAACACCCTTCAAATAAATTCAAGTTACAATTGGTGAATAAGTTTGGCTTTGGTTGTAATTTGTAGAGTAAAAACTAATGTTAGTAAGTTTGTATTTTGTGATCATTTGGACTCAACGTTTCGATGCTATCTGGCGTCATTCTCAAGAGGAAATACATTAATATATTCAAAAACATTATTTTTAAAAATTACAAGATTGTAACAGGACTGTCTCATTTACGAAATGCTCTTCATTCAAAAGATCAAGCCATCCCTTAACGTCCAATCAGACTCCGTTAAGGCCAAAATCTTCACCTAAGACTATCCACATGGGACTTTGCACAATCGTATAATTCAATGTTTTTGAATATATTAATGTATTTCCTCTTGAGAATGACACCACATAGCGTCGAAACGTTGAGTCCAAATGATCACAAATACAAACTTACTAGCGTTAGTTTTTACTCTACAAATTGGTGAATACCACAGGTAACCCAAAGTATTAATTAACAATAAACCCTTTTAGCCATCTCCCACTGGCTGACTACTGACTGACTGTCTAACTTAGGGACTGCTTACAGGTTCTCTGACTAACAGGCCAATAGACAACTAGATGAACTGATTGACTTCCTAACTGATTATTGGTTACAGATAAAACAATAAAAAGTATTATCATCATCCCCATTATTATACTTTCAAAAACCCATACATAATAGACCTCTGAACCTTTTACGTCACTATTTAATTTGCAATGCATTGTGGGATCAGTTTCTAGAAAAAATAAAAGAATTTCGCCATGTTCTGTCCCAAACGTATCCTACAATGCATTGCGTATACGGTACATGACGTAAAAGCTTCAGAGGTCTATTAATGAGCCTATTTGGTCACATGAATGGACCTTTATATCTGATAAAACACACCTCATTAGTTTTGTTTATATAAAGAATACTAATAAGGATGACCTTTATCCAATATAAATGTCCATGACCCTAGCATAGGTCTCAGGTTTGAAACCTGATCATTGACCAATGCTGTATGTCAACTGATTACAGTTAAAAGCCAAAAGCGGTTCTATTTTACTTTATGCGTATTCAATGTGGGATGACAAGAGTGCTCTGTAAAGTGATTCGAGCAATTGTATGGCAATTTCTCCAAGAATTTGAGTTTTTGAAGCCATTTAAAACACTCGAGATTGAGTTTTATCACGTATAAAGATTCTCGCCTCCGGCCCGAATCTTCATACCTGATAGAACACAATTTTGAGTGTTTTAAACTATACATCAATAGTCTTCTTCACAGTTCAGTGCAATCTTCAAAAGCAATCGTGCCTTTACAACAAAGCAAGATGAACAGTGAGCATGCTATGATAGAAACCTGTAACCGTAAATGATTACTTGAAGGTGTGAAAGAAGATTTCAATCATTGCACGCTCAGCTGTTGTCTCTTCAATTCAATGCAAAGGCCTTTCAACAAGTCACACAGAACTGTGAAGGAGCCTATTCTTTGATAAAATAAAAAAATGTGGACTTGCATTGTCCAATGACCGGCCATTACTTCCAGCCCTGTGATTATAAAATGTGTTACCTTTGATCCACGTAAATAAATTTTCCATCAATGCTATGGCGAGAGACAAATTCTGTTGGGAAAGTCTGRTTATCAAACTTTGTGTCCATATCAGCTACAGCAACTTCTCTGCCAACTGCAATCAGGCAGCTGAGATTTTTGGAATCCTGATCTTCGTCCTCTTCTTCCATAGTGACTCCAGATGGCGGCCATGACTTGAGGTAGCCTGTGAAGTGAACTATAACAACAGAAAAGTGATTTATTAGTCAATCAATAAACAATTTGTACTATTATAAATTATACAACTTCTCAGTAAAATCAGATGTTTTGATTGGTTGGCTTTCATGTGTTATCAAAGTTTAGATACACGGATTACGTCAAAACTAATTGTTTGTTGTATAAAACAGATAGATCTCATTTTTCCGTGTGTGTGCACTCTAATAGATACACAGATGACGTCAAAATGTAGTGAGAACAACAGTCA